TATATATATATATAGGTCTGGGATGGGAGACTTGTGGGGGAGTGCAATCTTTGAGTAATTAATCAGCAGTTATCTTTGCGAGTACTCAATATGAAAGTAGTATAAGAATAAGGGGATTTATATGCTTATCATATAATATTTAGTGGATGCATATGTGGTAGGATTAGTATTTTCCCCCCTTAAGTTAGTAGATGAATATGTAAAAATAAAATGCATTCATCAAACATTAGTATTTTTTCTTTATTCAAGTTCTACAATGGTCTTTATTAAATATGTGGATAAATTTATCCTTTAAAAATACATCTCATAAGAACTCTAAAAACAAAGTGAATGATTTCTCTTTGCATCCATTTAAAAGTAATATTATGTGAATGATTCCCTTTCTGGGTTTCAACATGGCATCAGAGCATCTCCTTCGCAGGTTCTTTCTCTCTTGAATTTTCACACTTTAATTTTTTGCTTTGGTCTTTCTCTTTCGGGAATTCTCGTTTTCGTCTGTCTCGCTCAATTCTTGGAATGTATGTTCTTGATTTCAAGTTTTCGGTGATTAAACTCCATTGTTATCGAGCTTAATCAGGGATTTTACAAAGTCCTCAAATGATACCAATACCTTTCAATCTCCCTCTCTTAAATTTCTTATGGGAAACATCTCCATCTTGGTTATCACTCAATTGACCATTGATAATTTTCCCATTTGGAGTTCTCAGATCTACAAACTATTCAAAGAAAATGGGTTTTAATCGTTTCTTGAAGGAACTTCGATTTGCCCTCTCAGTTAACTAGTGCTATCAATGATAATTCGGTTAACAATGTCAATTATAGCTAGAATCTCATAGACCAAAGCCTAGTTGCAACTCTTTACTCCACCATTTCTTCATTTATCTTACCTCATGTGTTAAAGCCTGAAACCACCATAGGTATTTGAAAAACTTTATCATAACAACTTCAATTATTTAGTCAAGCTCGTGCTATACAGATCAAGAATGAGCTCCATGATATTTCTATGAAAAACAACTCAGTGAATCAATACTTGACCAAAATCAAGATATTAGTGGATCAAATAGTTGATGTAGGTTTTCGAGTCGATTTTGAAGATATTATCATTTATGTATTGATTGGTTTTCCCAACTCCTATATTTATTTCAAAACAACAATTCAAACAAAGCTTGAACCTATCACTTTGGAAGACCTTTACACTCTTCTATGCAGTGAAGAAGTTCAACAAACAATAACTGCAACAAAGGAACAAAACTTGGCTCAAATCGCACTGCTCTCTAATAGGGATCATGACTGAAACAATTCAAGAAATAGGGGTGGTTGATCGTCCATGCTTTCAGACTCATTAGAGAGATTATATGTCTCAAGAACTCTTTGCTCTTCAACAAAAAGGGACTTGGAAATTAGTTTCTCCACATTTAAATTGCAAGGTGATATGATGCAAGTGAACATATAAAATCAAAAGACGCTCAAATGGGGCTAATGCTAGGTACAAAGCTAGGTTTTGTTGCTCAAGGGTTCAAGCAAGAATATGGCATTATTATCTTGAAATGTTTACTCCAGTTGCCAAAATGTATACTATTAGAATTCCTTTGACGACGGCTATACAAAATCATAGGGATATACTACAACTAGATGTGTCGAACACCTTTCTACATGGGAACCTAGAAAAAGTTGTATATATGCCTCAACCTCAAGGGTTTCAAGATCAACAAAATCCACAACATGTTTTTCGCTTACAAAAAGCTATATATGGGCTAAAACTGTCTCCCCACCAGTGGTATTCAACATTCTTTACATACTTTACTCAACAAAGATTTAATTTCAGTAAAGCTGATCTGTCTCTTCTTATATTCCAAAAGGATGGAGTTCTGATTTTTTTTCTCATTGATGTGGATGATGTTTTAATAACCAACAACAATATGAATTTTATTAAGAACCTATTCAAAATACTTCACAATAGGTTTCAAATCAAAAAGATGGGGCACATAACAACATTTCTTGGTGTTCAATCTCATGAGTTGGAATCAGGTTACCATTTTAATCAAACCTTATATATCTTAGAACTGTTAAATAAAGATGGAATGCAGAATTGCAAAAAGATACTCAATCCTTGCTCCTCCAAGGCCACTAGCAATAAATTCACACAACAATAATTTTTAAATATTACTCTTTGCAGGAATGCTACATTATCTTAGTATTACTAGACTAGATATAGCTTATGATGTCAATAGGGACAGTTAACATAAGCATTCATCGACGAATGAAAAATTCTAACAAGTTAAACTTATTGTCAGATACCTTAAAGGAGCTACAACTCATGGGCTTCAATTTACCTACAAATCATCTATAATTCAATTATATTCTGATTCGAACTGGGCAGGGGATCCTATCACAAAAAGATCGGTTTCAGCTCATTGAACAATTTATGGTGAGAATCTGATTTCATAGAAAGTTCAAAAACAATCAACAGTAGCTAAATCTTCTACAAAAGCATAGTAACGGGCATTTTCTTTGGCAACAACAGATTTCATATGGAATAAAAGACTTCTGGCTGAATTTCGTTGACCTATGAACATACCTACAACTATTTTCTATGATAAAAAATCAACTATTGCTTTGGCTAATAACACAAATTTTTATGCTCGTGCCAAGCATATAGAAATTGGTCATCATTTTATTAGAGATCAAATTGCAGCAAAAAAAAAAACATTTTAACATGTAGCAACCCTAGACCAAATTGTATATGTATTCACAAAAACTCTATCTACATCCAAGTTTCATAAACTTAGAAACAAACTTAACACCTATGCTTTAGATGCTAATTTTGAGTGGGACTATTAATAAAGCTGTCTTTTGAAGTAAAAAATTTCTTTTACAGATATATGACAACTCTAATAGAAATATTGTTACTTGTATTTAGCAATTTATATTTCCTATAAATAGCTGTAGTCTGCAATATGACATGATGGAATAAAAGTTAGAACAACTTCACTTCACTTTCCCCTTCTAGGTTTCGTCACTAAAAATTTATTTGACTCTGGATAATGAACCCCTAAGATATAATTCACTGTAATGAAATGCAAACTTAAGAAAATTACCAACTCTTCAATAATGACAATTGGCTCTTGAAAAATTCATTCTATTTTTATCTATAATTATCTATAATGACAAAAATCCCCAAAAAAAAAAAAGATTTTCTTATTTCATATTAACATCCAAATTAGGAAAAAAGTATGATTAACAAATATAGAAAGTCATAAGTTAGCATTGATTCAATGTACTGCCTACCTTACCTAACAACCACATACAAAAAAACAAAAAGTGGATAGGCTCATTTGAAACCATTATTTAATACATTTAATATTGACAAATAATAATAATTTTATTTATTTTCAAAAGGAATAATCAAAGGTTAGACTTTGATGTTCTCACACATATTTATCAAGTAAATGCCAATATTTGTGCTTAAAGAAGTACTTAATAAATTTATACTTGCTAGAGCTATACATTATTATTCTCTTATACATTTTGGTGAAAAATACTATGATCAAAATAATTGGATTCATTTTTATAAGAATGCAATTATGCAATATAATTTTTGCACAATTGCCTATATATTGAACTAATCTACAAATAAATTCAATAATTATAAAAAATTATCTAATAAAATTTAATAATAATAATTGAACCCTCCTAAAAAAAAAATAAAAATAAATGAAGGCTTAAGTGCTCATCAACTGGTTTACAAGAAGATTTACATACACACCAGCAAATTGTTATGTATTCAAATATTGAGTAATGTGTCAAAATAATCTCCGACTATCTATATGGAGTCATTTTAGTCCCAGAGTTTATAAAAGCGTCAAAATAATCCCTAAACTCTTTAAATCGGGATTAAAATAGTCCTCATACAGGACTGTTAAAGCTCAATTTTAAAATAGTTGAGGATTATTTTGGTTCGTACATAAAATCTAGGACTAAATTTTTTTCATGCAAATAGCCGGGGTCTATTTTGACACTTTACACATATTTATCATATATGTCTCTTCTTATACATGCATGAAAATGTGTATTTCACTTTTCTAAAGTTAAAATAGAGATATTTGTATGTGTTGTGAAAGATTTTGATGGTAAAAAAGAAAGTAAAGTTTCAATGTTAGATATGTAAAAACATAACAATTGGGTGGTATTTATGTAAACACCCCTATTTAATAATGCAAAAAATATATATTTGTTAGAACACCCACCAAGGTTGCTTCATAAATGAAACCAAGAAAAAAAAAAGTCCACAGAAGTTGAAACTGAACATATGCTTACAAACAAGTAGTAGGTAGGAGGAGAGGGAGACTAGAAACAAAGCAATAGAACAAACCTGATCCAAATTTATAATCAATAAGCATTAAGTAATTAATTAAGCTTTAATCATAATTAATTCTCCATCATTATGCTACTACACATAGTTGTGCGTTGAAACATGGCCCGCAGGTCGACCGCGAAGTTCGACCTGCGTTCGACCTGCGGCCTGCGTTTAGTGTAAAAATGGAACCGTGTTTTCGAATAAGCGGACACAACGGGCGATTCAAACGGCACCGCGGCATTTTCAAAAATGCAACCGCCGCACTTATAAGCTGCCCCAGACGGACCCTATATTTCAAGGCAGAAAGGCTCATTAACATTAGAATAAGCGAAAAATAATAAAAAAAGAATTTTTTATAACATGTTTATTGGCATTCTTAGAATTGGGGCATTAAATGGACTGAGATTTATATTTATTTGATTAATCATTTGAATAGTTCTGTAAATACATTATTTTAAATGAACGAATTTGAGTAATTTATTGTTTGATTTATTTGCAATAATATATAATGATTAATCAGTATTGAAAGTAACGATGAATGTATGCGTAAAAAGCTTCCTTCCTACTGACTAAGAAAAATAATCTGTAACCGGCTATTAATGAAACCTGACACCGTTCCTTCTAAAATGATGAGGAAATTAAAATTGATTTACTAGCCAGAAACAGCAGCAGAATCTGACAATTTTCCCCAACACAGATAATCTTTCATTCAATAAATAAACATCAATCTTTGTACAGCTAAAGATGATAACTAAAACCATATATATATTGTCTGTCAATCATCAAAGTATTTCTCAGCAAATTAAATATCCTACAAATATTATTTCTGCTGGTTCAAAATGAATTCAGAATGCCCAGAATTAAAAACAGTTATTTCAGCTGCTTCACTGCAGACATTCCTCTCTCAAAATCTCTATTTCAAGATAAAATTGTTGAAGCTACAAGCACATACAAAGCAAATTTGTAACCAATAATAGCATAAAACAAACATTTCAATTCCACCAACAAATTATTCAGCCTCCCTCACTTGAGTCCATGGAGATTCTCTCTCAAACAAGAAAGTCTTCTTTCACCCAGTAAGTGCAGCATTGAGAGCGCTGTGTACGTCAACTCCGACCTGAGCTTCGGCCTTCTCGAGGTCGGTGACGGCTGAGTTGAGCTTCTGAGTGAACTCGGACAGTCCTTTTTGAACCAGGCTTGAATCGATTTGGTCGAGGGGAACAGCCTCAACGGCGACGATATCGGCGTAAGAGTTTGCATGGATAAACGCAAAGCCGCTGCTGACAAAGTATTTGGTGACATCATTTCCGTTGTGCACTGAGAGAACGCCAGGTTTGAGTTCTGCTATGGTCGCCACATGGCCGGGTAGAACACCCATTTGCCCGGTTGTTGCGGGTATAATCGCCATGTCGACCTTGATAATGAAATTAAAGGAGGTGAACAAATGAAAATAGTGAACTTCTTTCACAGTTAAATTCAGTGAGAAAAATGTTCATAAACATCAGTGGGGTAGTTATTCACAGAAAAATACTTACCTATTATGGCCATCATCATCATAAGATCCATATAAATAGCCTCATTCCAGCCCTTTGGGTTATCTTTATGAATTCTCACTCTCCATTATTTCGTATTTAGTATTGCATGAGATGCTAAATCTATTTGAATTATTTTTCTTCACAAACACTGTCAATACTGCTTTTGGTCTACTTCTTTTCCTTTCTACACCTAAAACATTACTTCTATTTATTCATCAAATTGGTGCATCTTCTACCTTCTGTTAGACATGGCCAAAAAACCAAAATTTGTTTTCTACAATGCTTATCTGATGTTACACTTACTATTCCTCTTATATAATTTACTATCATAAATTTATATCATAAATTATTGTTGCGATATATCATTACATAAACATATTCACTTATTATCTTACTTTCTTGTTCTTTATGCCGACCAATACATAAGCCCTTGCACTGAATCAATAAGATATAACAAAAGCCTTTTCTGCAAAAAAATAAAAAATAAAATAAAAATAATAAAAAAGCCTTTTCTGTTCAACATGCCCCCCTCCTCTTAATCACAACCCAATTTTGCTCATGTATGTGTGCCCAAATTTTGTTGATGGACAATCGTCTCATCTCTGTGATCCACATGAATAACATTTCCGCTTGCGCCAGTTGCTTACCCACTTATGCTCATTCCACAAACCTGTCGCTGCACAACATACTATAATTTCCCTTCACGCACAGCATAATATAACTTATTATCATAAGAAAGTTTTATGTTGAAAGGATATCATCATAATCATACTCTCTTGTTAACTTCATATCTTGTTATTCATAATCTACCATATATATATATATATATATATACATACATACATACATACATACAGATACCTTTTTTGCTCTAACATTCCCCTCTTAATCACAACCCGCAATATTCAAGTATGTGTGTCGTCACATTAAAAGGCCAATTACTCATCTCGGGAAAACTTTGGCTACCCTCCAGTAATTCAACATGTCTCCACCACAACCCCCATTGGTTATATTGACACTCATTGTAGTTCAATCTATCTTTCATAAGAAGAATATAATTGACTACTCTAGCTTTCTTGGTTTACAATTTAGCCCTCTCATGCAATTTTCTCTTCTAATTTGAATTTAACTGCTCATTCTACTACCAAACGGGTTTTAGGTCCATGTTCTTCTTCGAATATGTCAGTTAATCAATACTATTTTCATCGCTTACGTTTGCATGCCTCCCACTTATCATTTAAACGATGAATCTTCCTCTCCTCTGAAAAAAAAAAAAAAAAGACGATCCCTCTACCTCATTTACAATGACAAGGTTTCGATATTCCACAATTTCTTGTAAAACTTCTATCGAGACATTGCCTTATCAAAACCAAATAACTATTTTTAAGCCTTTAATTATCCTTCTCGCAACATTTTTTAGCATCTTAGCATGAAGAAAGATTGGAGGCATTTACTTACTGATTTTATTTTCATTGTTTAATCCTCCTCGACTATTTCATCAAATTAGGGGCATTTTCACTATGACCTCCATCCCCTGAACCTTCCTTTGCAAATTTGAATCCGAAGAATGGGACTATGGTAAGCACAGCCACACTACTTCTAAATGTCTAAAACCTCCTGTAGGACCAAGCTTTCAGACCCCATCCCAATTTATTCAAACATCTAAGGAACAAAGCTCATGTCCACTTCTAAATAATTTCATTATTTTACATCTTCTATTGATAACTACACCAATGTTGCTCGAGTTTATTTGTTGAAGAGTAAATCATAAGTTCTCTTTACCTCCAAGCAACTTTATCAATAAATAGCAATTTGGTTTTCCACTCAAATTTAAACTCTGTATTGTTAACATATTTAAATATTTGCAAAAAAGATTTCAAATTTTTTGCTAAAAATAGTATCACATGTCAATCATATATCTTTATATAAAACAATAAAATTATATGCTAAATGTAAGCATTGAAATCCGCATGATGTTGCTCGTGCCTTAATTTCACATGCATGTTTGATGATAATTTTGGGGAGATGTCTTTCTCCTAGTCTATTACTTGATCAATTGCGTCGTCTCTACCATTTAAAGTGGTCCTTTCCTTTCAATTGTTTATTCACAGTTTTCTTTCTGTCATGCTCTTAAAAGGTTTTTTTACTATTTTTGTTTTGTTCACTCTTTTTATCTAGGAAATGGGATAACACTCCTCTAATGCCATTAAATATACTGTTCTTGGCTACTCTCGTACTAGAAAAATCATCAGCGCTACAATCAACTTATACGCCACTCTATACCACTATCGATGCACATTTCATAAAACATCAACTGCTACCTTCCAGCTTTCACCACATCTCCTAATATTCCAATTCCAGCTATTGCTTGGATGCATGCTTCTCTTCCCTTGCAAGTTTCTACACACCATCCTCATCTACCTTCTCCTTAAGTGCCTCCTATCATCCCATCAATCTTGACCAAGCAACCACGTGCATTTAGGCCCCGGCCCCAGATCAACACCTCTTGATTGCCCTAAAAAAGGTATACAATACACTCATCTGTGCACTTTTAATGAAATTGTCATCTTCCTCTCATTATTTTGACTTATCTCATCTTTTTTGTGTCGAGTACCGAGACTTATTGAGAAGCTATGTTTGGCCCTAACAAACAGCATAAAATGATTAACTGAATTAGTGATCTTTTTATCATCATACTTGGGATCTAATTATATGCCCTTATGTGGATTAAGCCCATCTCATATCATTGGATCTTCACTACTAAGTTTTATTCGGATGAATCTAGCACAAAGCTCACTTGCTGGAAATAATCTATATACAAATCCATGGCATCAAAAACTTTGAAATTTTCTCTCCCATCACTAAGCTTAATTCTATTTGTCCTGTATTGTCATCAATCAATGATATATTTGCTCCAAATGACTGCCAACAATAATTTTCTATGGGGACCTTTTTGAAGTTATTTATATATTAAGGGTGTGCTGCTAGAGAGAGAACAAAAGGCTATAAATTTTGAGATATACGGGTTAAGATAAAGTCCCTGCAATTGGTTCAAGAAACTCTGCAAGTTTCTCATTGAAATTGATCTTCGAAGTAAGATGATTGGCTATTCTATCTATATTCACCCGATTTCCTTCAAAACATGATCCTCATTGTGTATTTGAAAACATTTTTCTAATCGGGAATGATGCGTAAAAAATTGATGAAATAAAATGTCAGATATTTGCCAATAAAATCATTGGAATTCAAAACACATTTTTGATACAAATTTGCATATAACAAGAATGATGTTTCTCACTCTTAAAGGAAATATACTTTATATCTTGAAGAATCTAATCTTCATAGGAGCAAGTCTACTGACTCTCACATAGATATTATGTAATAATATTGATAAATGATAAAAGTTTTGAAGATGCTTCTTGTTATCAACATCTGCTTGATAAGTTTATCCAACTAACTATTACTTGAGATATATATTCTTCGGTGCTAATGAGGTTAGTTAAGGTATGCAAAACCCAAATAAAGGAATGATGAGATGGTGTTCTAAGAATGTTCACATTAAAAAATCTCCGAGAAAAAGTCTAAGTTATCATAAGCATAACAATTTAAAAATTAAAGCATATTTTAATGTTAAAAATGCTAGATCTATTGAGAATCAGAAGAATACTTAAGGACAGTATTCGAAACGAAAATCCCAGGTCCTAGAGACGCAAAATATTATAGATAGGTCGAGTGTTAAAGCTAAACATAGGGTTCATAGTTCAACCTGCTTGAGAAATGATGTAGATTAAACTCTGCTAGAATAATTTGACTTAATTGAACACAATGATCTTTAAATGTGGTAATCAGTTGATTGATGTAAGACAAACATGGGCTCACCACGATGATGGATAAAGAAGCTTTAGAACTTCAAATAAAAACTCCATTAAAACTTAAACATCAGAGAAAAATTAAATCTAAAAACAAATCATTTAGAAGACTGAAATAAGTACAATGAATAGACTAGAATTTTAACTAGATTAAGAATGTATCTCCAAGATAAAGACTAACGAAACACAATAAAAAAAAAGGTGATTGGAAAATAGAGATATTAATGTTAAAAAATTTTAACTCAAACATAAGCTAACCATTGAAAAGTTAATATAAGTAGGATCTTAAGAGGTTTAAAGAAGTACAGAATATGTAATGGGCTATCTAATGACAATTACTTACAATTCAAGTGCATTTTTAAAATAATATAAAGCAAATATAATGTTTTTAAAGTAAAAAGGGCTATTTGGTTGGTTAAAATAAATGCATGAATTTACTTTTTGGTATCTAGTTGAAAGTAAAATAAATATAATCTTTTGTTAACATATACACTTAATATATTTTTCTGAAGATTGAAGTCAAAGAAGAACACAATAGGGCATGAGACTAAGGAGATGGCGATGAGGTCGCAAGCATGAGATGACGATAAGGTCATCTCGTGAGCACAAGGATGGTGGGAGCCTAGGACATCACAAGCATGGTGAGGTCATCTTATGAGTCACGTGGAGTTCATTCCATGGGTTTATAAGCATGACAAAGTTGCTTGGTGAGTTCACATTGCACTTGCAATGTCGTGAGCGATGTAAGTTTGCATTGTGCAATGAAGTTGAAATTCACGTTAAAAAAGTGAATTGAGTGATGCATTCAAAAACCCTCAGAGAAATACCTTGAATTTATTTCTCTTAACTAAATAGTCAAAAATATAAAACTACTACCTTTAAAATGCAATGCACTCAAACACATATGCAACCAAACTACCCCTAAATAAGAATAATACAGAATAACTAATGGATTGTTGCTATGAGCAATCTTTCTTCTTTAAATCAATCTTCCAGTTCTTGGATGCTTA